TTTCGAGGCAAGGCAAGAGTGAGGCGTACCCTAGGGGTGGTGTGTGATTTGTGTGTCATGTTCATTTGCATTTATCTTGTTCATGTCAAGGTGATCTATGTGTTGCTTTTATTTTAACATTCATTCTTGCATGCATTTATTAACAGTTAAAAAATTGCGAGAAATAAAAATTCCTAAACTATTACAAAGGCGCGGGTCCACATCGCCAAATTAAAATCCAGGACCCGATTTGACAGAAAATAAAGAAATAAAGTAAAGTGCGAGAAATAAAATGTCCGAGTTTACAAGGCTTTGGGAGAATTACATTAATATTTACAAGAAATAAATAAAATGCGCAACGAGAATAAAAAAATCGCAAGCGACGGCGTTGGACCCTTTTTAATGAAATTAAATTATGATTATTAAATTAATGAAATTAAAAGGAAAAAGAAATTATTTTGAGATCTTTTGGATTTATGGTTTTTTTTATGTGAATTAAATGAAATTAACTAATTAACCCTAATTCTACAATTTTTATTTATTAAGAAAGTATTAAACTTTAACCTAAAATAAAACCTAATTAATTAATGCACTTTGATTTATGAAAATAAATAATTAATTAATCATGGTGAGGAAAAAAAGAAAAGGAATAAAAAAAAGACTCAAAACCCTAATTCTACTCTTTTTTAATTTTATTAAGAAAATATTTGAATTAAACCTAAATTTAAATCTAATTAATTAATGCACTTTATTTACAAAAAGGTAATATTTAAATAAAACATATTTTAATTTTTGTATTTTCTGATTTTTTACTATTTTTATATTTTGTGAAAATAAATTAGTTTAAAGAATTAAAGAGAAATCAATTAAAACAAATAAAATAGGAAAATATAAAAAAGAATAAAAAAGCAAACCATGAGGGGTCTGTCCCCAAATTGGAGGGTTTTGTCCAGCAATCAGGCCCATTAAGCCTTTGGCCTTGTTGACTTTTTAGGATGCGTGTAAGTGCATTGACTCAGGTCTATGGTATTCACCAAATCTGGGCCTTCAGATCGTCTCCAGTGGCCAAGTGGCATAGTTGGATCAGGGGTTGTATGGTGGAACCCTGGAACTTGCACTGCATAGGATAACATTATGAAAAATATTATGGAATAGAAAGGGGGACCTGGGGCTCGAACCCAGGTCCCAGGGATTACCAACGCGTTCCTTGACCAGTGGAGCTGTTGTATCACTTTGTATATATAATAGCAAATAATTAATATAAGAATAAAGCAAGCGTTAGTGGGATTTTAGCGCGCAAATTCAAATAACCCAATCAAGCCTTGACACTTCATCATCTTCTTCGTTTTGCTTTTTTTCCTGAAAACATAACAAAGGTTAGCGGGGGTTTTAAACCCCCCCAAAATGTGCAGTTTTCAATAATAGCGAATAGGTCGTCTTGGAATATAAATTAGGCGCGACTATGGCAATCAATTCGTCCAAGCTTCCTGAATCCAAACATGGCACTGAGGTTCTCTAATTTTACAGTATTTAGAAACGCCCAAATTAAAACTTGAAGAACCCTAATAATCGTTCATGGTAATTCTTCATACAATGCATAAAAACTCAATTCAATCATATGGTTAGTTTCAGAATCATCCAATTAATATAAATCAAGAACAAAAATGCATGGATTTGGCCTAAATAACAAAGCACGATTATGCAAAAAGAGTGATACAGTTTGACTTTGAATTACCAATTCTTGATGTTTCAAGCTATGATTTTGATTCAGACTCCTTCCTTGAAGTCTCAGCAAGCCAATGGAACAATTATTTTGGCTTGAATCGCCCTAGAACCTAGTTTTCAGTGTTGAATTTTTTGTCAAAAACTCAAGTTTGGTTATGGATTTCTGGCGCAGCTTTGTGGTCTTTTGCACTAGGGTTGGCTTCATGCTTATGTATGGAATGATTAGGTTTAAGTTTTTTGTCCAAAGAATCAAAGCATTGATGAGAAAATATTTGATTTTCCATGCCATAATTTTCCAATCTTTTCATGCATATTTGCTACCAAATCATGTTCAATCACATGGATTCTTTCCTTATCTAATAATGCACGAAAATCTGAAGTTATCCTATGCACAAAAAGATTTGATTGACTTGCTTTGATATTTTTCACATATTTATTTTAATTAAATGAATTATTAATAATTAAAAATCCAAATAAATAAATAAAAATGATAAAAAACTTCCCTTTGGGCCAAATGGTCGTGCACATGTTTTGGATGATGGATTTTGGAAGAAAAAGAGGCCCATTAGCAATTTTTAGGACATTTGAAGCAATGTTGACTTTTCAAAATATCCAAAATTTTCCCAACTTCCACAAGGCATATCTTGCTCAATTTTTAAGCTTTTATCATGTTCTTGGACATTTTGGAAAGGTCTTGAAGTCCTCTAACCAAGGCCTTTGGTTCCATGTCATTTTGATTTACCAATCTCAAGTTATGGCCTTTGACTTAAAGTCCCTTTTTGTTGACTTTTGAAAATGACCTATAATGTTGAAATTGATAACTTTTTGTGAGAGCATTTCTTGGACTTGAAGTGTGAAGAGGAGTTGTAGTAAATGTATTTCTCTTCAAAATGAGCTTTGGATGGAATTTTTCTGATAATCCATGTGAAAGTTATGCCCTGGTCAAGTTACAGTTGACTTTTTCCACTATCCAAATATGGAAACTTTTGCATCTTGAGACTTTTTGAGCCAAGCTTTGAGAATCATGATCAAGCATTGATCAAATGATGTTTGTGGCTTCAAAATGAGATGTTGACCAAAAATTTGAACTTTTGACTGTCAAATGGCCATTTTGCCCCTACAGTTGACTGTAGTGCAATTAGGGTTTTTGACTGTGCAATTTTGTGCTGTAAGTCTTGAAACTTGGTATGATGATGCTTGACCATGTTTATAGGCATGTGGGACTTGATTGGACCCTTGGAAACTTCATTTTCTTTGTCAAAACCAAAACCCTAGTTTTTGACTGTTAGGAGGCCTTTGAACTGTGCAACCCTTGGGGAGTTTTGAAGCATTGACTTGGCATATTTTGAAGAATATGGGAGGGAAAATTTTGGGGTACAACAACATACGCATATAAAATAATGAACCTTCATAAGACTCAGCTCAACAAGCAAAGATAAATTACAAGTTTCAAGTAATCGCAAGATTAGGAATTAATTTCTGAAAAGACCTAAAAATCTCATTTATTTTTGTAGTTTATTATCTAAAAAATTAAGAGAAATTCCTAAATTCTACGTATTCTTATTATTTTTACCCTATGTATTTTATTTACTATTTTTATTATATAAGAAAAAAAGGAAAATTAAACTAAACTAAAAAACGAATTTTTAAAAAAGAAGCGAATGATGAATTAGAAAGACCCAGGGTGTGAAACTGGAATATAGGTGTGCTTAAGCAATCTGGGTGATGGCCTAGTCTTTTGACCCATGGAATGTGTTTTTGTTATACCAGTTTCAGGTTGTAAAAAAATCGTGGCCCTGGGCCTAGGGCGGGGGTATGAATCCAGTTTATAGTAGTATAGTTCAGAAATTAGTGTGAGGCCCAGGCCTCAGCCCAAACAAAAATGTCCTTAATTAGCTTTTTGCTCCACTAGTCTTCAGGAAAAAACTAGAGAATGGGCCTAAGGAGTTCACGAATTTGGCCCATATCTTCACCAGATTCAATATTTTTTTCTTATCATTATTAAAAAAAACAGTTTTTTTAAAAAGTAAAACAAAAAATGTAAAAGAAACGAATTAAACGCCTGCGTTTTGTCATGAGATGTTAGGGTTAATAGTAGTGACGCAGAATCCTATTTTTTTCTTCCTAGAGTTGCTCGGCATTCAACCTTTTCCGACGAATTTCAATGACCCGCCACCGTTAACAGTGTCGATCCTTTTGATTCTCGTCGTTGTGCTTCACCTTCGTCCCTCAATCTTTGTCTATCTCTATTTTCCCCTTCATCTCAACTCTTCATGGATTCACTCGTAAAACAGGCGTGTACAAAGAAAGAAGATAAAGAATCGACGCAAGAAAATGTAACACACCTGTATTACATCATAAACGTGAAGAAGGTTCAATCGTTCAGCGGACTTACCTAGATTTGCTAGAGGATATCGATCACAGAAATCCAGGGAACTCTTCCAATCTAGATGTGAGTCGCAAAATAAACGCTTGAACGAAAAGGTTCAGGTATGCGATTCCTTTATATCTCCCCTCTCTTATTCGATTCTCAATCCTTCTTCTTCATTCAGTTATTGTTTTTTCCTGATATTGCAGAGATTGATGCAGGTTGCAATGAAGTAGAGAAGTGTTGAAGTTGAAAGATGAAACGAAAGCTCGAAGTTAAAGATGAGTTGCACTGAAGTTGCAGATTCCAGAAGCTTGAAACCAGGTTCGAGAAAGTCAAAAGTTGAAGATGAAGATTGAAAATAGGTGAAAGAAGATGAAGATCACTGAAGGATGGTGATGAGAGATCGATGACGATCCTTATTGTTGCAAAAAATTCAGAAAACTGAGAGTGAAGAGAGAGATAGAGCTTTTCTGGTTTTTGTGATTCTTCTGTGAATTGAAGAAATGGAGAATGAAGAGTGAGAAAGATGGAGGAAAGTGAAGGTGGAGGATTCTTCTGCAGAATTTCCGAATCCCCTTACTGGTGAGTTTTTTCTGTTTTATATTTCTGTTATTATTATCATCCCTCAATCCATCCCCATCAATTCTTTTGTTTGCATCCTGTTATAAACCAGTAGAAATTTTGTTATATCATAATTAACTTCAGCCACTAATTTTGATTTTCGGTTATCTGATCCAACGGATGAGACTCATCTGATATAATATTAGGTAGGGTTGTTATGGAAGTTATAGATTTGGATCAGTAGCTGCAATAGATTCCTATTATGATAGTTAGGAATTCAATTGAAAAATCAGTTAGAGTTGTTATAGTTATTTCTGATTTACTTTGAGTTTCCTTCTCCTCTATTTATCAGTCTTTTTTCTTATTATTGACAGCTGTTGTTCCATATCAAAAGGGTACGTTGATCAGGCTTCTGGGTGAATTTCAAATATGCTAATAAAGTTGGGCTCAGATCCACAGCCAATTTGCAGAACTCCTCAAATGCCACAAATGCTAGCTCTGGATGTTGTTTTTTATGGTAATAGTTATATCGTAACACGGCTGAGTGCACATGCTTTGCAACTCTCTGCTGTTGAGATAATGGAGGATCATCACCAGTAGGTACATTTTGACAGTATGCTTGCTTTCTTCTCCATTTTTAGATGAAAAACTATAGAATTGCCCGCACCTATATCTGCCTTCTTATGTTTGAACTGGTTTATTGTGTTTTTGGCTAATCAGTTTTACAGGGCTACATATGAATTTACTCACTTTTCTCTCATGTGTTTGCAGCACGACATACCCCTGATATTCATGTGAGCTTGTGCCAATAGATTGAAATAGGGTTGTTGTTTTGGAATAAGTTCCTGTAGTGGTACAGAGGGAGTTTCGAGTGAAGATAAACGCTTCAAATGGTGGAAATTGTGAAGACTAGGAAAAAGACTTTAGGAATTTTTATGTTTCTTTTGTAACTTTCTTGTAACTTGGTAATGAAATAACTTGATTTTGTGTAATGAATCATGGTAGACTTTCTTGGATTTCTAATAGAACTTGAATGGACTTGATCATACATGGATAATTCTTGATGAAACTTTGTGATTTTGAATCACTTGAGTTTGGAAAATCATGATGAACGACATTCAAACTTGAATCTCAAACTTTAGATAATGATGTACACTGAGAAAAAACACATGAATCCACCTTGTAACTTTTGAAAGCAAACTTGAATGAAACTTGTCTTTAGTTTCCATACTTCAAAATCCCATGAAAAGTTCAAACAAATTTTTTTGCAAATTCCCTCAAATCTTTATGAAAACTTGAATGGTACTTTTGGAAGACCTTGTAAATGGAACAAATCTTGCATCAACTCGAAATCCAATGACATTTCTTGATTGAATCTTCAGATCATCCCCGAGTACCTCAATTCAAATCTTCAATTCAGGGTAACCTTGATTTAATGAACCTTAATCTTCAATCGAATCAAAAATTCAAGAAATAACCCTCCACCCTCATAGCTTAACAACAAAGAACAACCCTTGACTGTATGAAAGTCTCAAACACTTCTTCAAACATCTTAAATGATGAAAAATCGTAATGAGGAAGGAATAATGATCATGTAGACTCAAAGAGAAAACCTAACACAATGAATCATTTTTGAATAATCAACATCCATGCTTAGGCACAATCATAGAAGAAACCCTAAATCAATGGACCTCGAGTGCATACGGATGGAGAAGGCTTGAGATGGCGAGAGGAACAAAACCTAGCTCAATGACATTCTTAGATAATATATGATAAAGTCTCAAGTACACAGGTTGAATCCCAAAGTACATATTCTTCGAAGAAATCTCTGATGAAGAAAAAATTGTATCTTGAGGAACCCTGCTAGTGAAGACGTCTATGTTGCTTGAGATCCAAAATCCTAATCTCATACCAAGAATAATGAGAGCACCAGCTGAATCAATTTTGAGTAAGATAGCAAACTCAATTCATAGAGAGAAACCCTAATGCCAAAGCTCTTCGATCTTATAACCATGAGACCAATGGTATGTGCAAAACATGCAAAGTATGATGAGGGGTCTTAGGGGCAAAAATTGGTGTATAACAATGTGTTATAATTAATTAATTCGTTAATTATACATGGGGTTTATAAGGGTGTTACACATTCGTAGTAATCGATTACAACTATTAGTATTTTCTAAGTTGTAACCGAATACAGTTTTTGTGTAACCGGTTACAGGTCCAAGAATTTTGAAATTATGTTATTTGGCTTATGTTGTTTGTTTCTCAATCAACTTGTAATGTTTGTATAAATGCCTTGGAGTCATCCTCATTAAAATAAATAAAAAATATACTTTCTCACCCTCAATTACTCTCTCTCTCTCTCTCTCTCTATGGATTGAACTAGTTATTTCCAACATATAGGCTCCATAGCAAGAGTAGAGACATATCATATTATAGACCTCTTATCATTTAGATTACCTGCATAGTCATAAACCACATATACCACAATTGATGGAACACCCTACTTCGTGTGGTACATGATACCATGATCCGTTGTATCCTTCAAGTATCTTAGGATCCATTTGATTGCTTTCCAATGTTGCTTCTCTGTATTGGACATGAACTTGCACACTTGACTAACTGCTTGTGTAAAATTCAATCTAGTGCAAACCATAACATACATCAAATAACCAAATGCACTAGAACAAGGTATCATAAACATACCTTCAATCTCTAGTTCTATCTTCAGACATTGTTCCAAAGAGAGCTTAAAATGATTCGCCAATGTAGTACTCACAGGCTTTGCTTTGCTCGTGTCAAATCTACTCAAAAACTTTCAACATAGCTTTTCTGATACAACCATAGTTTATTAGCTTCTTTGTTCTTGTGAATTTCCACCCCGAGAATCTTCTTTGCAACACCCAAATCCTTCATATCAAACTTCATACCCAACTTGGTCTTTAATTCATTTACACCATGCAAATGGTTGGCAAAATCAACATATCATCAACATAAAGTAACATAAAAATAAAATAACCATCATCAAGGATCCTTACATAAAGACAATAATCATAATCACACCTTCTATAGCCAATTCAGAGCATGTATGAATAAAAACTCTTGTACTATTGCCTTGGATACTATTTTAAGCCATACAAAGACCTCTTCAATTTGCAAACAAGTCTGCCATATCCAGTATAACTCAAATCCTCTGGTTGCTTCTCCGTGTAGATTTTCTCCTCTAGATTACCAGGAAGGAAAGTTGTTTTCACATCCATTTTCACTAAATACATATAGCACCCATCCATTTATCTTTCTCTTGGCTAGCCATAACCTTTCAAAAAGTAGAAGGGTCTCCTAAACTGGTCAGAAGAGTATATGCTGCTAAATCTTCAAACCCATGTCTAATTGGAGGTGTATTATGATGGGGCTCTCTATCGTGCAAAAATGTGTAGTCTTGTACTCTACCCAAATCTTGCACTCCACCTAAATTTAAGTTTGGTTCATCCTGCTGTCGGACTACAACCTGCGTTGGACTCATTGGTGGCTCCTCAATGTCCATCTAAATCTTGTCTTGATTGGAATTTTCTACCTCAGTATCTGGAATAACTACCACATATGATTGTTTTAACATTAATTTCTCATCAAACACAACATCTCTTCTGACAACTACCTTCCTCTTAAATAGATTCCACAACTTGTATCCCTTTCACACCTTTATTAGAGCCAATAAAGATGCACTACTTTGACTTGGGGTCAAGATTAGACCGATCCTTATTGGAAATATGCACATATGCTTGACACCCTAAAATCCTCAAATTAATCATATCAATTGGGTTACTTGTCCACACCCCCTTTTCAACTTTGCCATTTAATGAAGCGTAAGGTGATGTTTTATTTAGATAGCATGCCATTTTGAGTGTTACTTCCCATAAACCTTTTGGAAGACTAGTATTCAACCGGAGGTACCTTGCCTTCTCCGCCAGAGTCATGTTCATCATCTCTTCAACACCATTATGTTGTGGTGTCTTCCTCATAGAAAATTTCCTCTGGATTCCATTCTCCTCATAGAAATGCATGAACTTTTTGTCAGTGTATTCAGTTCTCTTATCAGACCGCAAATACTTTATTTTTATCTATGTTTGGTTCTTAACATCTGCCTTCCGCAGTTTGAACTTGGAGAAGACCTCAGATTTATATTTCATAAAATAAAATGAAACCTTATGAGAAAAATAATCAATGAATATCACAAAGAACCTGAAACCTCCAACGGAGGGATCTTTTGTAGACTCCAAGACATCATAACGTACATATTCTAAGATTCCCTTGGTCTTGTGTTACACAGTATTGAAACGAACTCTACATTATTTCTCAAGAACACAATACTTTAGCAATCCAATTGTGCAACTGTGAACACCCTTCAGCAAATTTCTCTTATGTAGTTTCATCATCCCATGTTCACTGAGATGACCCAAATGTGTGTGCCACGTTTTGTTTGAATCATTACCAGTTTCAACATATGCTACATCACCCATAATTGTGCTCCCTAACAACTTATAAATGTTCTCTGCAGTCATCCTTTCGATATTCATTGTCATTTCAAACTTGCTAACCCTCATGATGTTCTATCTCCATCTGACTATAAGGAATAACCATTCGCTTGAAAATAAAATGCTTCCTAAATTCTGAAACATAATGCACCTCACTCAATGTGTGCACGCCACCATCATCCAAAGCAATGTTAAAGTGATGGTACAAGTTTTACCATCACCTAAATAGACAAAACCAAAATCACCTAATTTAAAATAGCTGAACCACTCCCGGTGCAGTGTCATATGGTAGGAGCACCCATAATCAAAGATTTAGGCATCAATACACTTTGCAGATGAAATGAAAAATAAATCCTCTTTACTACAGGAACCATCAGTCTGAACTACATTTGTTGAACTACGGTTTCCTGAATTTTTTGGACAATCCATCCTCCAATGGTCAATTTTCTTGCAACCATAACATTTTGTTGTTTTTTTCCTTGGGTTCAAACCTATTTTTATTTCTATAAACCATTACCTTACCCTTTCCTCTGCCACGATCTTGACCTCCCTTCACAAATAAACCTTCACTTGAACTTCCTACACCTTCCTCTACACTTTGGAGATGTTGTACGTGTTGCAAAAGGGTAGAATAAATAGAATCCAATGTGATTGTTTCATCGTGTGTGAGAGTGGTCACCAAGTGATCATAAGAGATTATAAAGAGAATAATAAAATAATGGCTTTATCCTTATCGTCAACCTTCACACAAAGTCATTTAAAATCAACGAGGATGTTGAAAGCATTGACATGAGCCTTCAAATTGCCTCCTTCCTGCATCTTCGAGCTATATAGACACTGCTTCGCAAACAATTTGTTCATGAGCGTCTTGGACATGTACTGATTTTCCAGTTCATCCCAAACATCCTTCAGAGTTGTGAGGACCAATATATGATTCATTATGTCATCAAAAAATCAAAGTCTTATCAATGATTGTGATGTTCGTTAGATTCTTATCATGAAGTGTCTTCTCTAAACCTTGTTGAGCAAACAAATCTTTAACCCTCTTTTTCCATAAATCGAAATTGTCCATTCAGTCGAACTGAGTCACTTCGAAATTTGCACCTTCAGGATTAAGCATCATCCAATATCACTGTTGGAATAGTTACATGAATATGATCAGAGTAGAGAGAAACACACAAAAGGTTTGTTCATGCAGTTCGGTCGAATTGCCTATGTCTGAGATTATAGAGCATCTATAGTTCTGTCTTATTGATTTGTGTTGAATTTCAAACTTTATGGTTTCAGTGTTACAAGCATATATAGAGATACTAATGATCCATATTATAGTATTACATCCCTAAGTCGTACTACAGGGAGTGAAAGTTGCACCCCCAATTAATAGTTGTGTTAAATGCAAGGGCAAGGGTCATGACCGTTACGTGGCCCCGCCCCCTGTCCACTTGAAATTACCTATAAAACAAACTCAACAGAGTGTATATAGGCCTGTTGTACCCCAAAATTTGCCCTCCCATATTTCTCAAAAAAAACATTTCAAGTGAGGTCCTCAAATTGCTCAAGGAAGTCCAAGGGTGCACCAGACAAGCTCTCTCCTAAGGCAGTCTACATCAAATTAGGGTTTCATGTTGCATCAAGATACTTGAGACCAAAGGGTCAAAAATTCTCTCTATTGTCCTAATTTGTTCTCAAGATCATCCATGTCAAGTATCAATCCCTACAGAGAAAGTTTGCTCAGTCAATTGCTCAAAGGCCTGAAAATCGACTGTGTTAGGGCAAAAGTCAATTGTGGCCCACATGCAGTCAAAGTTCAATATTTTTGGTCAACATCCTCATTTTGAAGTATTATTCATCATTTTATAAAGGCTTGATCATGATTCCTCAAGGATTGCTCACAATTCATCAAAACCCAAAAGTTACTAAATTAGGGTTTTTTAGGAAAAGTCAACTCAACTTTGACCAAGCATAACTTTCTCATAATTTATCAAGAATGACCCATAAAAAGCTAATTTTGAATAGGATGAAATTCCCTACAATTCATCTTCAGCTTCCAAGTTCAAAATATGCACTCACAAGAAGTTATGAATTTGGACATTATAGGTCAATTTGAAAAGTCAACAAAAACACCTTTTTTTGTCAAAGCCTCATACATGAACATGGAAGACTCAATTGAGATGAGACCAAAAGGGTTGCTTATAGGACATCTTGAGATTTCTAAAAAGTCCAAGAACACGTCTCTAGAGTCAAAATTGAAGGAGTTAGGCATTAGTGAAGTTGACCTTTTTTGCAAAATTGCCAAAAGTCAAATGTGTCTCAATTTGCAATTTTTGTCAAATGGGCCCAACTTTTTGTGCTTGAATTGAGTTTGTAACATGATCCACGACCCATGATCCTTCCCACTTTCCTTTATTTTATTTTTTTCATTTATTTTGATTTTTATTTCATTTAAATCAAATAAAATCAATAATAAATAATGAAAATATCAAAAATCATTTAAACCTTGAGATTTTGTGCATATTTCAGGTCCATGAATATCTGGAAATGAGATCAAATCGTGCAAGGCTTGTTTAGACTGAAAAAGATTGAATTTTTCTTGTTTTGGAAAGATTTGATGCAAGGGTGAATCAAGGATCAAATCTTCATAATTGCAATGATTTGATGCAAACTTGTAACCCTAATTGATTCTATGATATATATTGAACAAATCCAAAGCAAAAGCATAAGGGTTGGAGGCGTAAGAGAGTAGAATAAAAGTCACAAAAATCACCAAAAAGAGCTAAATCAAATTACAAGTTAGAGGACGATTTACACCATTCCAAGGCTAGCAATTGATTCCCAGCCTTCTCCTGAAGCTAACCTGATCATAGTCAAGCCTTGATTTGCCTAGAATCCGTTTCCACAACTCTCACGGTTTGTCAATTTTTCTAAAATCGTATTCATTCATTCTTGCATCTTTATCATCTTTAAATGATATATTTGTAATCCTTATCATATTTGGAAGCTAATAGTACCGTTTAATTGCATATTTGGAAGCTATACATGTAGATGCCATTGTTAGGGTTTCTGAGATAGTTTTGGGGCTTTACTACACAGGGAAAATTGGGCCACGATTGAGGTACCATGATGCTCGTGAGGTTGTCACGAGTTGATTGGTACCATTGTTATGCGTTTATCATGCTTGTAGGGAGTTCTGGAAATACGCAGGGGTTATACCTACAGAGAACGTTTATAGGTAAAAGTCGTTTTACCTAAAACAACGGACAAGGGTGGACGACGATTGCGTGGCAACACACTATTCGTCCGTTTGAATTATGGCACGTTTGTTTGATAGCTGGCATTGTTTTTCATTATATTATTATTATTTCATATACTAATAAATAAATTCAAGTGGCCTAGTGGTATCCAGGGAAGGCGTTAAGGCTTTGCATGCATGAGGTCAGGGGTTCGACCCCTGCCTCCAACATTTTCCATTTTCTCAATTTCTCTTTACAGATCATGTACCCCACGCGTCATGAAGCTTACCATGTGCCTCCAATCAGTCAGCCACAGGATCCATCTATATCCAGATCTAGCGTTTCTCATAAGGAGGTCCAAAATGCACCCTAGTCAAGCCAATGCATTGGATCATGAGAAGTCAACATGGGCCAAGGACTTTTGGGCTTAAAAACCAGATTAACACCTCCTTCTTGCCACTAACACCAGGCCCAATTCTCTCTTTTTTTCTTTTATATATTTTCTTTTATTTATTTATTTTTGTTTAAATTGTTTTCTCACACAAAAATTAATTCTTTTTTTACAAAAACTCATAAAATCAATTTTCATCAAATTAGATTTAGGTTTCATTTTTATCAAATTTAATTCAATCAGTAGTTTAATTTAATTTTAGGGTAATTTTAACCTTTTTGTAAATAATTTAAAACAAATTAGAAAATTAGGTTTTACTTGATTTAATTTTTATTTTATTTCTTAAAATAACAAAAATATAAAAATAGGTCAAATTAATTACTTTTCTCAAATTACATTAATTAATAATTAGGTTTGTACTTATTTAATTAAAACCTTATTTTCTCAAAAAAATAATCAAAAAACAACAAAATTGATTTTTCTTTTAATTAGGTTTAGACGGGGTCAAAACCCTAATTTTTCTCATTCTTAATTTATCGCGTGCGTTTATCATTTTTGCAAATATTAATGTAACTGCTCATGGGATGTAATACTTTAATTAGGATTTTTTTATGTTATTTATCATTTTACGGGTTTTTGGCTATGTAATTAATCCCCCTCCCTGAAGCCTTGTAATAGCGTAGTCTTATTTCTCGCATTTTAATTTTCGCAAATATTAACTGTTAGATGTATGATAATAGGATTGCATGACAAGAATGTATGTTAGTTTTAAAATGGTTAGCAAACCCTAAATGTGCAAAGATAATAACTTGAAATCAAATCACTCGCACATGCGCACTCCTAGGGTATACTCTCACTTCGGTTGCCTTCGATAAACGATCATTAAGTATAGGGTATTTTAGTGGTCG